AACTAAAAAGAGACAAATAAATATAATAGCAGAATACCAGACAAACTCTGTACACCAAGTTGGATGCGATGGAGTTTAAAGTTCTAAAGCCAATAGTGGAGTTCAAATATGTGAACAACCGGTTCTCTGTGTGAATGCCATTTCCGGAAGTCCATTCTGGAATGGTCAACAAAAAATTAGCTACCGGTTCTGCTGAAGTGGTGCAAACTGGCTGAATCCCACCACTGTCTAAAGCTTATATGTTGAAATTGTCTGAACTTTCAGGGGGCTGATCCTCCAAAGGCCAATCACTAAAACAGAGAAGGTGTGTTTCCTAGGCCCCATCAGATGACATTGCTTAACAGAAAACAAAGAGGTATCTGCTTAATAGAGGTACCTGCTCTCATGGATCTTATGAGGTAGGAAAATGTTGGGAGAGAGATGGCTCCTCACTTAGCCAGGTCAGATGCCGTTTAGTCTGGTATAAAGGATTTATACAAGGTAACCAACACATGGAATTACATCATTGGAAGATAAAACCCCTCTGGCATCCCCTCCTATTTTGGTCAGGTTACACGTCAAGCCTGGCTATCTCTGATCAGCTAGCAAACCTCAAAATAAAGTTAAAAGGAAACCACTTAACCTTTCTCTGCCAGCATTGACCCTTGGGCTCAAATTGATTAAGAAAGTCAGGAAGTCGGCCAACACTGGCAAAGAAACAAACAGTATAACAAAGATCACTCATGATAAGAGAAATTTCTTGTCACAAGACTACACCTTGATGCCAGATCCTTCATAAATTTGACATTAATGAAGAGATTTACCCATATCCACAGGATTAGGAACAGACCTTCCACTCTTGAATTTCACACATCTGAAAAGCAGGAACACCTCAATCTAACATACTTCTTATCAAAGCCCATTGTTACTATAAGTAATATCACTCTCAGCTTTCTAACATCTTAGTCTACCTTCAATTTCTATGCTCCACATTAAACTGTCAAATAAAAACTTCCTTTCTCTTCAAGGAATTTCCTAGCATGTTTATGTGTAATCCAGCTTGCATTTGAATGCAGAACATTTTTCTTCTAACATCACTCAAAAGCTCACTGATAACCAGTCTGTCTCTCTGTGTGTAATTTGGTGTAACATAGGTATACTGAGATGTACCCACAATTATTTGTGCTACAAAACTATAGACTAGTAGTAGCATCTGAGTGGTCTCCAAAGGCAGCCACATACAGAGCATATTGCAGTATTCCTTAGTTGAAGTGCTATAAACATAGGGCACAGACTATAATAAGTGAATTGAAGTGTCTTTATAATACAAGTGGTCCTCAGCTTACAACCATCCGTTTAGTAAATATTCAAAGTTACAATGGCAATGAAAAAAGTAACCTATGACCATTACATTATCCTCATGGTCATGTGATCAACATTCAGGCACTTGGCAACTGAATTAATGACAGTGGCAGCATCCCAGGGTCATGTGATCACCATTTGCGACCTTCTGAGCCACCTTCTAACAAGCAACATCAATTGGGGGGAGGGGAATGCCAGATTTGCTTAGTGACCACATGATTCCCTTAACAACTGCAGTGATTCAGTTAACAACTGAATCATAAGTCAAAGTCATAACATCGGACGTGAATTTCTTAACACTTGGCTAAGCAATGGAAATTTTCATCCCATTTGTGGTTGTAAGATGAGAACTAACTATAAATACAGCAGATTCTATATTCAGAATTACCTGGATTTCTAAGAAGCTACTTGCTATGTTTGCACATAGCCTTTTGAATTTTATCTTAGCATCTCTTGTTCACCATGGTAGTAGCTTCAAGGAAAAGAGTTTATGTGTGCAAAGTAGGAAAAAATTCTCATCTTTCAAGCAGATCTGTTTGCAACAAAACACAACCTGAGGGGGGGGGGGAAACTTGAACATAAATTACTTAGCACCTTTTTGTTTCTACTCTAATGCTTAGAATAAAGTAAGTGATAATTGATAGCTTTACTTAGTGCCCTTTCAATCTAGGAGAAATGCCAGGTTATCAAAGGGGAACAGATACCTTAAGCACAAGTGAAACTCTTAGAGCAGTTTTATTACACAACAGCACAACAAATGTCACAACACAACAAATGTCAGATAAACAAACTGTATTATAATGTTTAAAAATATAGAGATCTAACTGCCTTTGTAATTGCCTTCTAAACTGTGCCGCACATGTTTTAAAATTTAAAACCTTTGTAACATATAGGTAGTCTTTAAACCTTTCATCTGGGCTTTTGCCCGCAAGGCTTAGGGTCCAGTGATTTAATCAATAAATAGACAGAAACAATCATTTGGATCCTTTATTGATCCTTTGAATCAATAAATAGACAGAAACAATCATTTTTTGGGTAAGTTTGTTGAGTGTTGTTTTCTACCCTAGGTTCCCTAAGAATTCTTCAGAAAATGTATATATTTTTTGTAATTTTATTTGTGGTTTGCCCAAATGTAATATACATCTCTCTCCCCTCCCTCCCTCTCGCCCTCCCTCCCTCCTCCTTCTTCTTCTCTCTTTCTCTCTCTCTCTTTCTCTCTGATGGAGAGCCTTAGATGGTGATAATTTGTTCTTATATTTAATTTCTCCAATTCCCACTCCTCTCAATTCCTTGGCTGGCGAGAAATGTACCTTACCGTATCAAATTCTCCACACAAAACAATTTTGGCTACATTTTAGAGCCTATTAATGAACACCCTTGTGACCTGAACTTGCACTAAAGACTCCTCATACACAATTGCCTTCTTTATATGGCATGATTATATATATTATCAGACATGATATTTTTCACCAATAGTGATAAGCTGTGTTTTTGTTTTCTGAAAATATCGTTGGAATTAGAAGATGAACATTTTTCAAGCATTAAGTCATTCTTCTAGTACTATCTCTAAAACCAATTGCATTAAACACTTTTCTAATTACTACATAATATAAACATATCTTAGAACTGAGCAACGTCTTTGAGTCTAAATTACATGGCATCAAATATTCTTTTTCTTTGATTCTTGGTTTCCTTCTCTTGATTTCTCTTCTTAGTGTTTAATTTGCTTAAACAGCTAAGAGGGTGTGTTGGCAATGTCGCATCGGAAGGTATATTGTGATGTCATTTACATAATTGGATCACTGCAACCAAGAAAATTAAAGTGCAGAATGGGTAAATGAAACGTATGAAGCTAAAGAAAAAGATAACTGAGGTACAAAAGAAGCAGTGTAATAACACAGAATTGTCATTCTTCACAAAGACAAATGCAAGGCAGGATAAGTAGTTTCTCCTGAATTTTGCTTTAAGTTCATTTACAGACTAATGGTATAATTAAATATATTATGCTATTTATTGCCACATGGAATTATAATCCACTAAGAGATGGCTTTGTATTTAATAATTGTACTTAATAAAATTATTAATTAATTTCAGCTTTATTTCAAAGTGCAACATAGATAATGAAAACTTGAAATATAATACTTTTGAAATATATTGGTATTTTGCACAGAAAATTGTTGCCAGAGGATTATGGGGTGTTTTATCAAGCTTATTTAAGACATGAGTAAGTCAAAGTAAAATTCAGAGTATTATCTTTATGCAATGAGAATGTGATAAATACCTCCTAGAACAGCCTAGAGAATGTTGAAAGCTTTGTGAAAATACATATTTTCATTTCAACCCAATACAGACATATACACACAAACTCACACACATCAATCCCATTATCTCCATCATGTCAAAACTTTGCAAGTGATGAGTTGCTTTTCAATCTGCCATTGTTGTTTTTGCACATTTACACAGCAATCTTGAACATCCTCCTCCGAGAGTAAATAAAATGAATTCTATGAATTTGATTTTATGAACTGCATTGTGACTCTTGTTTAATTAAAACTGTCACATTTTTACAACCCACACCCACCTTCTCAGAGGTGCCATAGACGGTGCCTTTCCTATTATAAAGCTTTCAGCGATTTGAATGCATCCTGATTTCTACATAAAATACACACGGACAAGGACTTCCTGCCCTTGTCATTTTCTCATCTTGTCACCTATGTTTTGTCTGAATAGGAGGAAAGCATGGCAATTACATGGCAATTACCACACTGAAGAGAACAGTTATTTCCTAACACAAGTTTCCTGTGAGAATAATATCAGGGGAATGGTTTCTTATGTAAAACTGAGCTAGGATGGTACCATGTTACAAAAGTTTCTTGAGCTATAAAAGTAATTTATATGAAAACTCTGTTCAGCATTATATTCAGAAGCTGCAGGCAGTCTTAGATTTCTTGCTCCCATGTCAACATTTGGAGAATACTGGTCAGCTAAAGTTAGGATGAGTTTAATTGGCATGCAACTTTTTGCATGCCAATTAAAGTGAACTGTTTATATATGATGTTCTCCTAGTTCAGATATAATTAAAGACACTGTCACGTCTTCCATTTTGTTAATCATTTAGAGTATTATTCATTGGTGGAAAGGCAAAATAGAAACTGAGATTGTCAACTTTCTCAGAGCAACAGTCAAGGAAAACAGTTGATCTGATTATGCGTCATTCAGATAGCATTGATTATTCACTACCATTGACCAGGATGGCTGGGTTGACAGGAGTTGGATTTCAACCACTTAAATTATTTAATTCCTGGTTTTGATGGATTGATTATGGAGTACCAAGTAACTGTCATCTCTTAGCAACCACAAAAGTACATTCAGCTCTTTGGTAGGAGCTAATTGTATCAGTTCTTGCTACTAAATCACTGGATACCCAGAGCCTTAATCATGGTATACGAATGACTCATAACCATCCTAGAAACACCAGTCCCTTTAGAGTTTAGAGTTATCTCAGCAATGAAGGAATTGTTCAAGCACAAGGAGTACCATTCAAGAAGCTCCAGAAAATAATGAATCCTTTATAACCCATGAATTTCAATTTGTTTTAGAAAAGATTGTGCAACAAACAAATATTGATTGTACCGGTTACAGATAAGCAGACAACTGACCTGCAGTAAAAAGTTCTTCCAGGGCCGTCAATGCATTTCCCTCCATTGAAGCAGAGGGATGAGTTCAGCAGCAGTTCAGTGCAAATGTCAATATCCACCTCACAAAATTCACCTCTGTATCCACTCAAGCAAATGCACTCGAATGCATTGACCAGATCTTGACAAGAGCCTCCATTAAGGCAAGGGGATGATTCACATTCCTGATGAGATAAATGATAATAAATTGATCTCAGAGCTTTGAAGCATTATATGGCTTTGTGGGAACAGATCCCTATTCTATCTGGCAGCAAGAACTCAACTCTTCATGAGTAAATTGTTTTGTATTTAAGTCTATGTCTTTGAATTAAGCCACAGTTCTCATGTCAATAAGTGTAGACTTAAGTATATGTAAGTTATAGATTTTTATAGTAACACATGACAAGAATGGAAGATTAATCCCTAGAAATCTAACCCACTTCCATTTTTAACAATGCAGAAAAGGTCAAGCAACTTTCACATTCATGTCAGGATAAATAAATTTACCAAGGCTGATTTATATAGTTTTATTTATTTAAGCTTTTCAAAGATTTTAGAAAGTTGTAAATACAAAGCAAGAAAAAAAATCTATAGAAAGATTTTTAAGTAATGTTTTCCCCTTGCCTTTGTTTCCCACCACTAACCTAAATATTTGCACTTTTATTCTGAACACCAAGAGTTATTGATAATATCTGTTTAAGTCATTCTGTCTATTTTTTAATTGGTCTAATAACTCTTTTCCTAGAAAACATGTTCCAAAACATGTTCCAAAGTTTCACATGCTGTGTGATATGTAGTATATACAGAAGCCATTCCTGCTTAATTTGGTTATGGAGATACAGTATACAGCCGATTTTGCTATTACTGAATACTCTCAAATTTTAGTCTATTCATTGCATCATTGGCAGGGTTTTTATTTTCCAACATTGGGCCAAATTTGTCCATGTAACTTAGCAAACTCTGATATTTTGCCTCTATATTTTCTGGAATTACACCTAACAGAAATATTTGTGGTCTTAAGTCACATTTTGTTTTTAGAATTTTTTGAATATATTGATTATTCTTCCACGTAGGTTTGAGTTTTGTAATTTCCTCTTGTGATAAAATGTTCCTTCTCTGTTGTGGCATTTGCAATATTTATTGTTATATGATTTGTCTATCTTGGTAATTGTTTATGGCATTACAAAACAGCTGTAAAGCAGTTTATACTAATTATCCCTTAAATTGGAGATTGAAATAAACATTATTGATTTTTTTCTATTACTCTCCCTATTGTTCTACTGTGATTCCTCTTGGAAGTTCTGCATTCACTTTACTATACAATTATTCATTTTTTATTGTTTTCATCAATTGTCTTATTGAGCTTTTTGTTTGCATAATAGTTAATATTACATCAACTGCTAGCATTTAATCTTGTATGCCTTGACATTTTTTTATCCTATTGGCTGGTACCCTCATAGTGTACAAATTTAGAGGAATAACTATTGGAAACATTGCTAAGAACAATGAGTTCAATTAAAGAGACACAAACAACTTAAAAAAATGTAGAAGAAGCATACATAACTTTGATTTACAAAGAAGGAAATGGTCCAAAGAAACTTCAGTCACACAGAACAATTTTTCTACTCAATATTGGCTATAAGATATTCACTATAATATTAGCTGAATGTCTAAAAAATTGTGTTTCTGAAATAATACATGTAGATCAAACAAGTTACATTCCCAAAAGGAAGATAAAACACAACCGCAGATTTATAATAAATGCATTATAATACATCAACAATAAGAAAAAGAATGTGGCAGTAATGTTCCTAAATGCAAAAAGAGCCTTTAATAATTTGGAGTAGCCTTTCTTGTTAAAAGTTTTAAACAAATTCAGTCCAGGATAAGAATGTAAAACTTGGGTGGAGGGTATATATTTGTGGTACAACAAGGACTACAGTAAATAGAACATTCTCCACAAGTTTTCCAATAAGTTAAGATGCAGGTCAGGGGTGTCTACTCTCTGCTTCAGTATTTGTAATCACTTTAGAAGTGAAACAAATATTTGGGATCAAAAGTGTAATATATTTAGTTTTGCAGATAATTTAAAAATCCATGAAAATTCACACTAATTGTTATGCCCATTTCTATTTTATTATACATATTTTCCTTAATATGTACATTTTACAAGCAATTTTTGGGATTTCTGTGCATTCTGGTATTTCCTTCAAATAGGTTTTTTTTCCTTAATGCAATTTTACCTATATACACATTCATTTTATTTTTTTTTAAAAAAGGGAGGTGATATAGAATGCAACACAGAGTTAAGAACAGTGAAAACTTTGGTGCACTTGTGTGGATGACATCTGCAATTGAGAAAAATGCCATCTATAAAAGGCATTCAGTTTTTGTTTATACTGCTTACGCATTGTTTCTGGTGTGCAGTTTGCAATCCACCATTAACAATGCATTTACAACACCTGTGGAAAGTTTTGTTTTTAGAGAATAATGAGAAGTACTTCTCTCCATTAAGACATCTGTGCATGTTCAGGCACAATGAAATTTTCCTCAACATTGAACAATGTTCTGTTCTAGGTAAGATTTCTTTAACACATAATCTATTTCTTATATATTAAGCTTCACCTGCTTAGACTTTCTTCATTTTCATATATCTATACCAGACTTGGGCATTTTATGGCCCCTGGGCTACGTCTGGCCCATGGGTGGTCCTTGTTAGGAGGTGGAGCATTGGTGGCAAGGGGAGGAGTGTTGGCAGCATTGGGGGTGGAGGGTAGGGTGGTAGCAGCAATGTAGGTAAGATGGCAGCATCAGAAGCTAGGGGGTAGTGGTGTTGGCCCTCCACAAACTCTCAGTTTCTCATGTGGCCCCTTGCGAAAATTAATTGCCCAACTTTATTTATTGATTTATTAATCATAGCTGCCCATCTCATAAATGATTTTGGGTGCCACACCTCAATTGTATAAAACAACAAATATCTAAAAATAATCATTTTAAAAATATAAAAAATCATTATCAAAAATGAAAATATTCTCCAAAATTTAAAATATTCGATATAGTTCATTTTGGCCCTGTTAAGGTTTTAGATGGAAATGTGAAGTACTTTGTAAAGTTCTTCACTTTAGGAAATGTAACAGAGGCCAATTGGTGACAGTGATTTATACCGCCATTAATCTTATATTAATTAGGAATAAAGTGAGAGTTTAATCCAGTTTTGGATTTTTTGTTTGATGATATAACTGCATTACATTTACTGGTAATTCCCATCTAATGATCATAACTGAGCCCAGAATTACTGTTAGTCACTGTGGTTGTAAGATGAGGCACTCACATAATTGGAAGTAATTTTCTGACATTTTTGCAGCAGTTGTTAAGCAAACCTATTCATTAGAATAGAACAGAACAGAACAGAATAGCAGTGTTGGAAGGGACCTTGGAGGTTTTCTAGTCCAACCCCCTGCTTAGGCAGGAAACCCTATGCCATTTCAGACAAATGATTGTCCAATCTCTTCTTAAAAACTTCTAGTGTTGGAGCACCCAGGAGTCGGATTTTTACTCATATATATATATATATATATATATATATATATATATATATATATATATATATATATTAAAATCAATAAATAGTTGAATACCAAGAGAATAAAATTATACAAAAGTTAAAAATGTTAAAACTTTTATTTACTAAACCTAGCTTTCGTCAAGAGCTCTTGACATCATCAGGGTGTAAACAGCAGTCGTTGGGAGGGCTTATATGCAGCCTCCAATCATTTGCGCTCGGCTCTTGGATCGTGTCATAGGTCCCAGCTGTGTGCGTTGTAATCCAAGTGTGTGTCCTGCATTAGGGTGTAGTTGTTTCTCACCCTTTCTACGTGTGCTGTTACGTGTGTCTTTCTCGCTAGTTCTAAAATTAGCTGGGGTATTTCCCCTTTCCTTGCAGTTAGTGCATGTTTCACTAGTTTCCCGTTTGTGATTCTGTCTGTCATGGGCAGTAGTTGCTGTTTTCTGCTTCCTTCTAGTTCCTCCAACCATCCCCTCCGAGCCACGTTCCAATCCTCCTTTTCTCTCAGATCGTAGCCCCCGTGTGCCATCCCGTCCTGCACCACTCTCCCTCCTATTCCTTTCCATCACTCCCTTAGATCTATCATCACTCTCCTCCCTATATTCTTGGGAGGAGTCGTTCTGGAGTGTGTGCCTGTCAGTAAGGCATTGCCTAGCTCGTAACCGGTCAATCCATTGCTCACTCCATTTGGGGCTTCTGTCCTCATCCCTCATCGGAGAATCTCCCAGGCACGCTCCATTCGTAGTCTTCTGTCCTCCCAAGGGATCAATCACCACAGAGCTATTCCCCTCCCTCTCACAAACCAGCCCAACTAGCGTAACGAGGGTGTCTGTTTCACTCCCCGGGGGGTAAATCATTCCCCCCGGCATGTGCGATTGTAGTCCGAGCGCTCTATCGTATGCTGTATTTCCTATTCCTCCCCCCACAGTTGTTATCTCCGTTCGTATTTCTCCTATTGAACCGATTGGGAGGGCCTCGCTCTCTCTTTCCTGCTGCAATTCAGTTGTCAAAGCACCTCCACTCGCTCCGTTCATCGGGAAGTTGTTCCATAATTGACAGTCAGGTTTCTGGTGGCTGTTTGTCATTTGTGGGGGATTTTTCAAAGTTCTACCGTCTTGGTCCGAAGCCAAGGGAATGTCCATTTGGTCGTGTTGTGTGTGGGGGGATGTCCTATTCTTCTCCCACACATGTGGTCAATACCTAGGTCTTCTCCAGCAGTTCAAGCGACAGTTCATGTGCCATGTTTGTAAGGTCTGTTGTACCGGGCACATGTCTATATGGCGATTAATGGAATTTCCCCCTGAAAACCAGGCCTCCTTTAATAGGCGGCCCCCCTTTGTGGCATCACAGGCCAAGATTTGTGTGTGGTCAAAATCAAAGTTATGGCCACTTTCGGCCATATGTGACCAGATCTGCGAGTATTGCTCGCCCCTCTTGATTGCCAACTTATGTTCATGTAGGCGGGTCTTCAGCCTTTTTGATGTTTCCCCTACATAATTACTGTGGCAACCCATGCAATCAATTTTATAAACCACCGCAGACCTTTCTGCGGTGGGAAGGGGATCTTTGGGGCGCATGATCTTTGATCGCAGAGTCTGGTCAGGTTTATGTGCCACTCTT